GCCTCATACATGTTCACACCAAAACGAGAAGAATAATAACCCTTGCCAGTGTCCAGGCTTAAATCAAACGGTTTGGTTCGTGGGTTTGTGGGATACAGCACAACCTGGTCTGTGATATTTTTGCCGGTGATGTCGTCCTAATCAGAAAACTGACCGTTGCTGCTCAAGATGTATGAGAGGTCGTTACTCAGCTGAGGACCCGCTATGTTATGCGCTAATCTATCCTCGACAAATTTCCTGTTGACTAACTCGTCATGTTCATCGGCTGCAGGTGTATGACTAGAAGTAACTTTGTTCGAACCCATCACAAGATCACCCGTCATAGTATCACCCGCTTTGTTGACCTTCGTTGCGGCTAAATTAGCATTAGCTGTGGTACATTGATCTACATACTTTTTGCTTACAGCTTCGTCGTTGTCTGAGAAGGTATCTCGCAGGTTTGAGATTTTCCGTTTTCGAGCATCGAGAATCTGTTTGTCGTTTAAGTTGCGAAAGCTCGGTATCCTCTTTTTCGTATTATCAACGTATGTTTGATTCACATTGCTGAGTGTTGTCATATCGAGATATGCCTGCAGATGTCTCTTGATCGAACCGGCCTCATAGCGTGAGACGAGCGTGTTTGAATTCTCGTATGTTGCTTGTTGTCGCGTCGTCATGCCTAGATAATTCTCTCTCTTGGTGTTGATCACATCTTTACCATTCATATCAAGGTTAGCTGTCATCTTCTGGGTTCCATCCAATAGCATAACGGCTGATGTATCAGCTTTACCGCTTAGCCCGTTCAAAACAGTTGATGTATCAGCCTTTTTCGCCAATTCGGTGTTGAGTTTGTTGAGATTTACAGCAGCTGTGCCGCTGAGCGGTTGATCGCTTAGACCTGTAACCTGTCGGTCTGCTCCATGTGTGCTTGTGAAAGTTATTTTCTTCTTTAAATCTGAGAGATCGATGTTACTACCTGACGCTGATGAACCGGCAGGGCCAGTAGGCCCTTGAGGACCTTGCAAGCCTCTGTCGCCTTTGTCACCTTTGTCGCCTTTTACTCCTTGTAAACCTCTTGGTCCTGTAGGTCCTCTCGGACCGGTAGGTCCTTGCAGACCTTGCGAGCCGGTGTCGCCTTTGTCACCTTTATCGCCTTTGTCACCTTTGGCTCCGCGTGCACCTTGCGGGCCAGCGTCGCCTTTAGAGCCTTGCAAGCCAGCGTCTCCTTTTGCACCTTGCGGGCCAGCGTCGCCTTTCGCACCTTGCGGGCCAGCGTCGCCTTTAGAACCTTGCGGACCTGTAGCACCACGCGGGCCTTGCGGGCCTCGCGCACCAGCAGTGCCGGTGTCGCCTTTGTCGCCTTTGTCTCCCTTTACGCCTCTCAAGCCTTGTGCGCCAGTAGCGCCGGTGTCACCTTTAGGACCTTGCGGGCCTTGCGGTCCAGTGGGGCCAGCGTCACCTTTAGGGCCTGGCGGTCCTTCAGGACCTTCTTTCGATGCTCCTTCTTGTCGGTGATCGACTTCGTGATATCCATCTGACCATCCCATGCTTTCTGTTTTGTAATCTCTTCAGATAATTTGAAGAGATTTATGTATTCACCTCAGGTGAAGCAGCTGCATAACACGCTCAAGACCTTTTCAAGGCCTAACACGCTTGATATTGTGCGCGGTTCACCAGCAGGGCTGGTAGCGTCTTTTGAGCCTTTTGGGCCTTGAGGTCTTGTAGGGTCCGGTGAGCCTTCAGACCCTTTCTTCGATGCTTCATACACTCTTGGATCAAAATTGTGATCAAAACCGTCGTAACATCCCATGCTTTCTGTTTGTAACTTCTTCAGATAATTTTTTTTTGTTTTTTTTTGTTTGAATCAAACCTCGGTGTTAGATCGCGAATGTAAAATAATGTATGATAAAGCGCTCGTTTAACAAGGTGTTACTGTGAGACAGAGGTTTTACAACATCCCAGAAGATGGTGTCTAAGCTTTGACCTTTTAACCTGCGGGTTACCTCTTTCAAAAACCACAGACAATAATAGCCACACAACACACTCAACATTGCCTGATATTGCACGTTGTTGTATGCATAGTTTATTCCTTTGGTCTTGGACAGCGTTACAACCTCTTCAGGTGGTTGTAATCCGAACGAGTCAAAATATAAGATGAGGTCAGAACCGAAAAACATCGCCACCCAGTGGGATCCGCTTTCGTGTGACTCATTAAGATTTATCACATAACATCGGTTTGGCTTGCAATCTTTTATGTGATCTCTCGAGATAACACCACCAAAGTTTGGAATTTTGAGGTAAGCGACCCAGCTATTGATATCGAGGTTTGTTATCGGTCTCTTTTCAAAGGGAGGTTTCACAAGATGTCCTCGAGTAGTGGTACTCCTTTGAAGGGTGAGTTCTCTCCCAGCAGAAGACCCTCTCCTTTTTGTTTTTTTTTTACCTCGTCCGCGGCCTACAGTCGTTACAGGTCCATCAAACTGTGGAATCCACGGTGACTGTTGTGGCATCCCGTCCCAATACGGTCTGTTCTGCAAAGCACCTCCCTTTTTACCTCTAGGTTTTCTGTTTTGCAGCCCTTTCCCTTTTCGCTTTGTACCGCCACCGGTCAGCGCTTTGAGAACTAGCGGTATTCCGATGCTGGCGAGAAGTGTGCCGAGAAAACCACCTGATTGCTGTCTCTTAGTCAGCTTTATTTTCAAATTACCGCCAGATTGAAGCGCAGCGAGAATGTCTCTCTTCTGTTTATCTGTCAAATGATCTTTGTACGCGGCGAGTTGTTGAATGTTCTCGTTTGGTACGATACCTGCACCTAAGACTTTGTCTGTGGCAAAATTACCTAGACTTGTGAGCGCACCTGTCGCAAGTCCGGGTAGAGCCTTTGTGGCAAATTTCGTTACAGTCGGTATTACTTTAGGCAATACTTTTGAACCGAGCGCTAAAAGTGATGAAAAGAGGCTACCACCTTCCTGCGCAACCTTTCTGATCTGTGATTTGCTGATCTTGAGGTCTACTCCCTTTCCTCCAGCTGCAGCTTTTTTAATTCGATTTAATTGAGTCTTTGTCAGCATCATCTCGTCAGGGCCACTCAATTCATTGTGTGAGAGGCGAAGAGTGATAGCCGAGTGTGAAGCGTAAGCTTTAGCAAGCTTCTTTCTTTGACCCTCTGAAAGGGCAACTCCATAAGGGTGATATGTCGTCATAATGCTTTATTATATGAAACATATAATAAATTCAAAAAAAGATCGCAACATGATTACCATGTGATCTGATCTAAGTCCTAACAACACCCTTTCCAGACATATTTTCAATACTTACATCTTCATTGTTCAAAACAAGGGCATAGATGTGATAGTCAGCGTTCGGTGCACCGTTGAGAGTGTACTCGAAATCTAAACCTGTTGTTCTTGTTAGTAGCTCGGGTGTCTGTTTTGTGAGATCAAAGTAGAGGATGCCGTACAAACCTTGAAACTGTTTCAGATCGATGGCGGAGCCAAAGAGTTGTGAGCTGGTTGCAAACTTTGAGTACCCTTGCAGGGCTAACCATGCGCGTACCATCTCACTCGTTGGGTCTAGTTGCTGATCTGGATAACGCTCTCCATTCTGAACTCTGAGTTGAGCCTTTGTCAGGTATTTTCCATCCGCGATGTTGTATGTGTTGAAAAGAAGGGGATTCTGCTCCTGGGATGAAAGCTTGTTTGCGTTGAGAATCCACACAAACACGTGTCTTGGTTGTTTTACAGCGTTTGTTATTCTGAATGTGCCGTTAACCTGTCGAAGCGGGCTAGATACAATGATCTCCTCACGCAAGTAGCTCCATGTGTGGGGTTTGAGATACTCATCCATGTACTTCTTTTGACCTTGAGCGTTGAATTTGATGATAGGTACCCATAATTTGAACTTAGTTATGATGTAACGCCCCGCAGCTGCCGCGTTTGATCGAAACAAGACGTTATCATCGTCTTCAAGCCTAACTTCGATAGTGACCCTTCCATTGGGTGCTAATTGTTCCTCCATCGAGTCAAAGAAACCAAAACGGTTGAGCGGTAGGTGGATATTATTCTCTGCCGCATTACCTGTGGCGAGAAGAGTTTGTCGTTTGGCAAAACCTTCGTTATAATGCGCATTGTCAGTTGGTGCAATGTTTTGCGCGTTTCCATCAAGGTTGAGTGTTGCATACTTCTGGATCACTGCACCGGTGGCTGTATCCTTGTAGAAAAACTGTCGAGGTCCTACCTTCTTCGCATGCTCATCAGTCATCTCTGTGAGATTCTTTACATTTACCACGTGGTTGGCTGCGGGGACACCCAAGACCCGAGTGCCATCAAAAGAGATTTTGAGATCTTCGATTAGACTAAAACCTCCGTTGATGATAGCTGCAGCATCTGTATCAGCGTAGTTTGCACCGTTTGCTTTTTTGTTGATCTTGAAATCTATTTCGAAGTAAGCGTTATACCAGTCGGGGACAGATTCAGAGGCTGTAGTAGTGTCTACAGTAAATTTATAAGCATCTTTCTGCTGATAGGCATTGTTAGCCGGTGCTGCTTGCAGTGGTGTGTCGAGTTCGTATGAGTAATATTTATACGCCTTGGCGTATTTTGAGGTTCTCATCTGAGACATGTTACTTGTTGTTTGTTGAGGTTTTGATCTTGATGAGAGTCAAGACTTTTTTATTGCAAAAAAAGTTTATCAAAGAGACTAGACACTTCTGAGGGTTCTTTTTTAGTTTTAGGCTTAGCACTATTGCTAGCAGTAGGACCTTGAGTACTAGGCGTACTTGCTGGTGCTTGAGTTCTCCACGATTTACTACCATAAATGAGATATCAAATGAAACTTTAGACATTTCTTTTTAAGAATACATCATTTAATACAGTGTCATATAGTCACAGCTTCTAATAAAATATTAATAAACTTAATAAAAAATATATTTTAATATAAAAAATTAACATTTTTCAAGTTACAAAGCCTGTAGCAAGACCCAAATGTTTAAAATGCAAGGTAAAATTGTCTACAAAGTTATTCTATCTCCAGTACTCTACTTTAGAATGATAATCACCCCAACAGTTGTGATCCTTCTGGATGCACAGGAAAACATTACACACCCTGCAAAATATGCTTGGGCGTGGCACATATGGAACTGGGGGTGACCTATCCTTGGGAACATCTTTGAAGTCATTTTTATGAGATAGTCTTATTTTTTTGCTGCAAACAGCACAATTTCCCCTAGTTGCAAGCATTTCTGGCATATGTGCACCCACATTTTGGATTCGTAACTCCTCATTTCGTGGCGCATTTGGGGTCTTTGGTTGGGTACGGGAATTCCCTATCAGACCCTCGGCCAACTCATACCTGAAGTCCAAAGCAACCCTCCTAGGTCTGTTTGTTCCCTCCCTTTCATGGCATTCAATGACAAAGGCATTGTGAATGGCCACCTCTACCTCATGGAAAAGAACACGACGGTACCACTTCACTGTTTTCCTGATACAAGTGTAATACCTTAGCATTTGATCAGCTTGATCAACCCCACCCATGTAATTATTATAATCCTTCAACAAGGGTGGGCAAGGGACATCTCCACTTTCCCCTCCCTCTCCCGCCCCTGTTCGCCGAACAACCCTTGCCTCAGCATTTGCCTGCCGTGGAAATTCAGGGGGGTGAATGGTAGACAAAAAGTAAACAGCTTTGTTGTCTAGCCACCCAACAGCAAGAAGTGGACCACACATCCGCCATTGATATGTGCCCCTGGCCAAGCCCCTGGTCCCTTCAAATAATATTTCCTTGGGAAAATTCTTCCTCGATCCCTTGATGGTCCCACAAGCATAAATACTGTTTTCAAATAAATACTGATAAAGATCCACGCTTGTGTAAAAATTATCAGTATATAAATGATGGCCAAAACCCTCCAATCCAGTGCACAATTCCTTTACCACCCTAGTTGCTAGTCCCGCCTCTGCCCTTTCCCCTGGATTTCTCCCTATATACAATTGCTGCCTATAAATATATTTACTTTCTGAATCTGCCAAGACCCAGACTTTGATGCCAAAACGGATTGGCTTACTTGCAATAAACTGGCGGAAGGACAAACGCCCCCTCCAAGGAATCATACATTCATCAATAGATATGTTCTTATGGAGATTATAAGCTTTTTCAAAGTTAGGAAAAAGCAGTTCCAATAGTGGCTTTATTTTGTGTAACTTATCGTATCCTGGTTGTCCAGCAGGAACAATAGCAGCATCATCAGAGACATGCAAATAGCGCAAAATCTGGAAGAAGCGATTCCTGGGCATGACTTCACCAAAGGCAGGAACATTAGTAAGCCATTTCTGCTGCCAGTACATTTTAGCCTCAGGCAATTTCACAATTCCCATGGCAATGTTTAGTCCAAAGAATGCCTTCAGTTCTTCCAGGGTCACATCTTTCCAGGCCCCACCATCAGTACCAGCAGCCCTCTTCCTTTGTGCATTCAGATTTGTCATTGTCAATAACAAATTCCACACATGGTGGTCAAAAAACAGTTCAAAGTACTCAAGAGCACTTGCCTGCCTCCTCTCACCTCGTCTTGTTGGCCCAACAGCACTTGTAAACTGTTTTAAATTTTTCCTGCTGTTTTCCTCTAACCAAACATATTGTTGGCCGCCATCTTGGATTCTGGCTCCTCGGTTTCCTCCTCTCCTCCCTCTGGCTCTCACCGCTCCTTGGCCTCTTCTTCGACCACGTGCTCTGCCAATGGCTTCTCGAAGCTGTCGAGACCTGTCTTGTCGCTGTTCTCTCACATATTCGCGACGATCTACCTCACTTTCACTCGAAGACTCGCATTCTTCATCCGATAAAGAAGGACTGTCGCCAGAATTATCCTCAAATCCCACTGAATTCTCAGGAAAAACGGCCACAACTTCCTCATCTTCGATCTCTGACTCAGACGAGTCATAAACGATCGATGGATCGGCGTCCATCGCATCTAGCCGCTCTAAAACTTCTTCTACAGACAAATTTTCTCGGATTCGACAAGTCGCCATTTTTAAATATCCTGATGATAAACAAGAAAGGTGTAACTATCCGAGAAAGGCAAAAAATTGCGAGGAAAACGTCCCAAACTAGCCAGAATAAGACTCAAAACAACACTGATGGTTTTTAATCGTACCCAGACTCCGACTTCACGGTAGTAACACGAGGAACGCCTGGAGCCTTTTGTGTGTGGTCCAGGTAGCCCTGTAGGGCTACCTGGGAAGGAAAGGGTTAA